CTGGGATTAAAGGCATGTGTCACCACTGTCCAGCTTGGTCACCTTTCTATTGTTGTGATGAAACTCTCTGACCAGAGCAACTTAGAGAAGGAAGGGTTTCTTTTTACAGTTCCTCCAGCAAGGCCATATTTCCTAAACCTACCCAAACCGTGCCACCAACAGAAAACCAAGTAGTCAAATGTCCAAAACTGTGGGAGACATCTCATCACACCACCAGAGAGTGCTCTATCTTAAAGAAAAACTTCATTTTGTTTGTTAAGAATTTCAAAGTAGGGGCTGGAGAGATGGCTCAGTGGTTAAGAGCATTACCTGCTCTTCCAAAGGTCCTGAGTTCAATTCCCGGCAACCACATGGTGGCTCACAACCATCTGTAATGAGGTCTGGTGCCCTCTTCTGGCCTGCAAGTATACATGCAAGCAGAACACTGTATGTGTAATAAATAAATAAATAAATAAATATAAAAAAATTGTATAAAAAAAAAAAAAGAAACCCTCCTGTTTCTGAGTCTGGCATGTGCCACCACGCCCAGCATATCTTGTTTTCAGTCACCCCTCAATTATAACCTATGGTCACAGGGAGCCCCGGGAGCCACCACTGCTCATTTACACAGAGCATGAGCACCAGGCTATTTTTTTGTTGTTGTTGTTGTTTTGTTTTGTTTGTTTTGTTTTTTGAGACAGGGTTTCTCTATGTAAAAGTCTTAGCTGTCCTGGAACTTGCTCTTGTATAGCTCTTGTAGACCAGGCTGACCCTGGTGACAAAGCCAAAGGCTGTGGAACCATTGCACCTGCACCTTCCTCACTGTTTTCTGCAGGGCTGGAGTCCCCTACTCAGGAGTTGGTTTACTTAGGACAGGGCTGGCTCCAGGCTCAGCCCTAGGCTTTCAGTTCAGGTGGAGTTTGGAATGCTGAAGGATAGAAACTTCCAGAGAAATTGGCAAAGATGCTGTTTTGAATTTTGGCACTTGGGCCCTCTCTGCTCCACACCAGCCTCCATTAGTCCTTCTGTGAGGGCAGAACAGGAGAACAAGAATGGCTACAACACATGCATGCACACATGCCAAAGCATCCATTCCAAGATGCTCTGGCTTTTGCTTAGCACAACCAGCAGAGGCTGGCCTTCAAAGGTTACTCAGCTCTCTTCAGGACACTGTGGCTTCTAGCAAGGCACTAGTGCCCCCTACTGGGAGACACCTGTAAGCACCACTTAAAGCAAAGCCTCATACAGGTTAGATATCAACAGGGAAGAGAGATGCCGCGCTTTGCAAATGCTCTTCCGCCACTCACCAGAGTGTGGAGTGCGCTGGCAGTTCCTACTCTGCTAGGCTGCCACACTAGAGGGCTGACTGAAACCCACACGGAAACACTGCCACTGCATCAGGTCAAGCAGACAGGCAACAAAGAACATTCCATGAAGTTCTAGGCCTTTCCAGGCCACAGTTAGAAAGGTCAAGGATGACTGTGTCCATCAGAGCTGGGCCAGAAGGGAAGGCCAACAGGAGAAACCCCACATGTGCCCTCATATCTGTCTCTAGGTGGTTAGCCAGCTAGGTCAGACAACACCAGAGTACAGAAACTCGGATAACAATGTGTGGAGGGACAGGGCTACAGACGAGGCCTCCTGACTCTGGGGGAGAAGGTGAGTCAGGAGTCTGGAGGCCCATGGACAGAGCAGTACCAAGACAAGAGAAACACAGTGCCGCTTTCATGAAATGGGGCCAAGAAAGAATTAGCCAGCAGATATTCTGTCTAATAAGAGCACACACTGTCCGATTAGGTCTTGCTATGCCCTCCCCCGGGGCTGGTAGGGCAAGCAGGGCTTGGAACAGCAATTCCTGTCACTGGGGAGTCCTGCTCTCTAGAGAGAACAAACCACGAGCCCAAAGGCTTGAACAGCATTAAGGCTAAACCAGAACAGAAGACACGGATGTCTGTGAAGGCAGTGGGGGTGGAGAGATGCAAACCCGCTACACAGACGGAGCCTGAAAAAGCAAACTTCTACCTCAGTATGAGCTGTAGCTTTACCACACTGAACAGGAGATACAAGACAGAGCCCCCGAAAGAACAGCAGGTGAGCTCAGGCCTCTGAAACATGAGCCAGCACCAGACTTCCTCTTGCCAGCACCCATAGCTGCCACCACAGCCCCCGGGAGGCTCAGGCCTGGGCCACGTACAGGCCTGACTCCAGCAGTTCTTGCTCCTGTGGCCTCGGTCTCCTTGTTCACGGAATCTCGGTCAGATGATCGCCCACTGGCCGTGCTGTCCAAGGAGTGACAGGACACAGCATTGTACAGGGCCTCGTAGGGACCCTCCTCCTCAGCGCGCGTGTCAAAATCAATGATCAGTTCAGTGACTGCTTTCTCCACGCTCCCTGAGAAGACAGAGAACACCATCATTAGGAGGCGGGGGCAGAGCCTTGGGTTCCAGACACTCTGGCCGAACTGTAATGATAGGAACGAGGACTGATTTTCTCTGATTCAATACAGGGAGTGCAGCATAGTGGTAGGACTCAGCTTAGCATGCACACAGCCCTGGGTCCAATTCCCAACAAAAAAGAAACTACTTTAAATATGTAATTCCTATGTCTTTTTGTAAGCATTCCAGTGTCTCAATACCATGTAGATGCCAATTTAACCTGAAAATGTGGCAATGTGTAACTGAAAATTAAAATGACTTAAATTATAGTTGATTTTGGGGGGGGGGGTTCTTTGTTTAGTTTTGGTTGTCCTGGAACTCACTTTGAAGACCAGGCTATCCTCAAACTCACAGATATTTACCTACCTTCTGAACTCACTAGACAAGGCTGTCCTTAAACTCACAGAGATCCACCTGCCTCTGCTTCCCAGGTGCTGGGATTAAAGATGTGTGCCATGCTCCGCCTTCTCCTTGTGCTTTCTTTGGACATGGAGCCCACTTTAAGTGATTCAGAGGAAAGCAAAGCCTTTCTGAGACAAGGAGCTGTATGACTTAATGCTGTCTCCTCGGCACTGTTAGAAATGGCATCCCCGAGTGCCTTGTAATAGTCACAAATACCAGTGTGGGCTCCTCGAAAGTTAAGAACTCAGTGAACGATTGACCCCACTGCTAGCAGATTCCAAAATCAAAGAAAAGTTTGGAGGGGTGGGGCTGAGGAACCCAGCAAAGACAGGCCGGGAGTCCAAAGCCCACCCACTTCCGCTGTGTCCCATTCCACCCCTTCTAACGTTGCTTTACTGTTTATTACCGTCTACATCTAGGGGAAGCAGTTATTTGTCTTTGCCTTTCATCATACCGTAACAAGCTATTCCGTAAACCAGAAAGGAGTCTGTTGTGGAATATTATTTTAAGATGTGTTATATCTGTCTCTGCTGTGGAACATTTGTTTAATGATGCAAAGATGTTGCATTCTTTTATGTTGCATTTGTTTAACTCTGTAAAGTTGTGTTACTTTGCCTGTCTATAACACTTGATTGGTCTAATAAAGAGCTGGACAGGCCGGGCCTGGTGGCGCACACCTTTAATCCCAAGGCAGAGGCAGAGAAAAGAAAGATATATAGAATAAAGAAAGGTAGAAAGCCCTGAGGCAAAATGTAAAGAGAAACAGGACTAGTTAGAAAAGCTGGTTAGAAACAAACTCATAAGTAAGAATAAGTCTCTGTTTAGTTATTTGGAAGCTGGGTGGTGGGCCCCCAAAAAGTAAAAAAAAAAAAAAAAAACTACATTTTTGCATACCAACGTGAGAACATGAGGCTCAAATACCTAGGGCCTGAGAAAGCTGAAAAAGAAAGGAAGGGGATATGACTCCTTTAAGGAACTCTGCTAGCCAGGCAGTGGTGGCAGACACCTTTAATCCCAGCACTTGGGAAGCAGAAGCAGGTGGATCTCTGTGAGTTCAAGGCCAGCCTGGTCAACAGAATGAAGTCCATGAAGTCCAAGACAGCTAAGACTGTTACACAAAGAAATCCTGTCTTGAAAAAACAACAACAAAACAAGCAAACAAAAAAGAAAGAAAGAAGGAAATCCTGCTGCACAGCAGCGCACTTAAACAACCTTTTTCACTCCAAGTAGAAACACAAAACTAAGTACAAAGCGCGTGCCACAGTGCAGGGGACTGGCACAGAGCTGGGACCCAAATGCAGCTCTCAGTCACCTACCTCTGACAGGCCCAAGGCCAGAGGTGTGGGCAGAGCCCATCGACAAAGTTGTGGCAGAGGTCCTAGGCATGCCGCTTAGCAATTTAAAGGCTCACGCGGTCAGAAAAGGACAGAGATGCAGAGTAAAGTCAGGTTCAGACGGGCAAACCTCTAAGCAAGTTACAGTGTGTTTAACAGTGTGCACAGGCTTCAAGAAAAGAGAAAGGGTACAGATGTCACAGAAAAAAAGCAAGTAATTAAAACTAAAGTTTTTAGGGAGAGAAGTAGAGAAATATGAAAAACAGTAAGCTGCAGATATGGAAAAACACGGGGAGCTGCATCCTGGACGCTGCCGCACTGACCTTGCAAGGCAACCACAGCTCCTTACATGGACTGAAAGAGGGACTGCCGAAATGAACGAGCCTATATAGGTGAAGAATGCTTGATTATAAATGGAACTCAAAAATTCACTGTCTGGGAAGAGTTTTGTTCTGCTTTTGTTTCCACAGAAACGAGAGGCTGTGTGGATTCCTCCCAGGTTGATATGGATCAGGTGTGATGGGCGAGACCTTTTGAATCTTGACAGGGGATATCTATCAACAAAGGTTACTGCTGGTCTTCCCAGGACTCAGTCATTATCTCAATTTCTTCTGGAACCCCCCTAAAGATGCCTTTGTTCATAGACACCAGGAAGTAGTCTAGAGAATGACACCCACATTCCCAAGAGGTGGGTGTGGGTAGATTCTGGCTATTTAGTGGGTTATAGATGTTGGTTATGATTTAGGAGAATATAAGAATACAGGATAAAAAGATAACTATTTGTCTCAGATATTTTGCACTGGCATAGATTTTGGTATATTGATACAAATGTTAAGTTATTTTTGTCATATTGCATATTTCTACTCTTGTTTGGGGTACTGTGCTTATGTAGCTCATTTTAAAATACGATGGATAACTAAGAAATGAGGTTAGCCCAGCACTTGGGAGCCAGAGGCAGGTGGATCTCATAGTTTGAGGCTACTCTGGAGTTCCAGGACAGGTCCCAAAGCTACAGAGAAACCCTGTCTTGGGGAAAGAAAAAAAGAAATGAAGTTATAAGTTAAACTATAATAATCAAACTTGCAGTCACATTAGGTATGTTTTCAAGGTAAAATGGGTATATTTTAGGCATATAGGTGAATTTCAAACACTTCAAAGACCTACAGAATATGGTATTTAAGATGTTTAAGACCTAAGGATTTTCATGACAATGAGACACATCTGCTCCTGGCAGCACCAATTTACTTCATAAAAGGATGATGGGCATCAGAGAAAATCCATATGGAGTTTGCTTTCAATGTGAGAAGGCTAGCCATTTGGGCAAGAAACTGCTCTTGCCTTGACTGCTGACAACATGCCATATGGCCTATGACTGTTGAACTTTGTTAGGACAAGGTAGGACAGTCCTTTGGGATTCCTGCTTCACAGATGAGTCTGCCAGACATTCTGCAGGACAGAGAAGAAAGCGACCACTGAACTGTGATAATATAAGGGACAGTCCTTCAAATTTCCTGCTTCATTGTAAGACAAAGATGGATGCCCCATTGCAGAAGAAGCTTGGGTGACTATTCAGGCAGCCAGATATCTCTGTTGTTAGGTAATATGACATCCTGCTGGAGTCTTTGATGGAGACTATATAGTTATAATTGCAGTTTTCCTTAGTTATAAAACTTTGGAATCACTAAGATAGATAATGAAGTATTTTTTCTGAATCAGATAAATACAAATGGACTTTGTAAATGTAATTCTTACTTGATAACTGTTTTTTTTTCCCCCTTTGGTTTTTTGAGACAGGGTTTCTCTGTGGCTTTGGAGCCTGTCCTGGAACTAGCTCTGTAGACCAGGCTGGTCTCGAACTCCCAGAGATCCGCCTGCCTCTGCCTCCCGAGTGCTGGGATTAAAGGCATGCGCCACCATTGCCCGGCTTGATAACTGTTTTTGTTGTAGACAGTTTTACTATGTTAAAGTTGAAACCTTACATTTTTGTTTAGACAATAAGGGGGAATGTTGTGGAATACTAGTTTAAGATGTGTTACATTTGTTTCTGCTGTGGAACATTGGTTAAATGATGCAAAGATGTGTTAGTCTTTTATGTTGCATTTGTTTCACTCTGTAAAGCTGTGTTACCTTCCCTATTTGAAACACCTGATTGGTCTAATAAAGAGCTGAACAGCCAATAGCTAGGCAGGAGAGATATAGGTGGGGCTGGCAGGCAGAGATTATAAATAGGAGGAGAAATCCAGGCTGGAGAGTAGGGGAAGGATCAAGAAAAGGATGAGAGAAAAACACCAGAGACTAGCCATCCAGCCACACAGCCAGCCACATTATAGGAAGAAAAGAAAGATATTAGAATAAAGAAAGGTAAAAACTTCAGAGGCAAAGTGTAGTTAAAGAGAAACGGGATAATTTAAGTTAGAAAAACTGGATAGAGCCGGGTGGTGGTGGCGCATGCCTTTAATCCCAGCACTTGTGAGGCAGAGGCAGGCGGATCTCTGGGAGTTCGAGACCAGCCTGGTCTACAAGAGCTAGTTCCAGGATAGGCTCCAAAATCACAGAGAAACCCTGTCTCGAAAAAT